GAGTGTCGTTGAGGCCCTCATAATAAAGGCGTGCGTGCAGGAAACAGGGCGTCATCTAATCACTCAGCTGAAAGCAATCAAATTTACGAGCAAAGTAGGAAGTTGTTGAAGTTGAACACAATGCAGAGATTGTGACGTGATAAAATTTGTGTTTTAATCCATGCACATAGTATGCGATACATTCCGCAAGTGTGACGCTCATTTTCTACAACACAGATATGCACTCAGATTGGTAAAAATATCATAGTGACGTTCATACTGATGCATTTGTCGCTCTGCAGCTGCTGCAATCAGCCTGCTTCATCCTCAGTGATATTAATCAAACTAAAAGCAATGAGTTCAATTAAGCAAAATGGCCTTGGTGATTAACATTACGCGTGCTTTAAGGCACATACTAGGGGGAAAACCTTGATGCGGCTGCACTGGGAGTCAGGCACAGGCCCGGTCGAGGCCACAGACAGATGTGATGTGACAGTGACAGAGCAGGCATCCAGAGAGAGGAGGGCAGACAGAACATGGCAGGCCAACAATGTGCATCTCATTTATTGGAGCAAGTTAAAGAAAAAAGGGCTGGGTAATCCTAGAATCACCGAGCCATAGGGGGTTTCAGGTAATCCCTTTATAAAAGCTAGGGAAAATACGTTCCTGTCAGTCATGCGAGTGTGGTGGCCTCCAGGTCTGATGCTTTGTGAAGCAAAGACAGGGAATCTAATTGTGTTGGCAAGAAATGTAAAGATCAGATGATGCTCAATGAGAAAAGATGGTGACTACTGTCATCAACAACAGGCGCCTTGCATGCTTAGAAATAAGATAATGCTTGGTAGCCATGGGCCACTCATTGAGTCTAAGTCAATGGTGGACTATAGACGCTGCTGAGATTATAAAGTTGTTGCTTTGTGTTTCGTGTTTAGGAACCCTAAGGAGAAATAGCTACTCTACAAGTCATATTAACAAGGGTTCATCTTTTCAGGTGTTGATAGGTGGATTATGTTGTTTTTTTGTGCTAAACTAAGCCAACTGGCTACTCGCGCTAACTTCGTATTTATCTTACAAAAAGTGGTATTAATCTTCTCATCTCACTCTCTGCAAAATAAATCCTAAATGTCAAACTATTCCTTTAACGTAAAATAATAGAAACCATAATGCACGTTTAACATTAGTCTCATAAAATATGATAAACATATGAATGATATCCAGAATACTTGAAGAATCAAAGAGCACTCACAACAGCCCTACAAGTCTTGTTTAATTCCAAACCAAACACAAAAAGCAAAACATTGGCAGCATTGCTAAATAATGCACATGATTCTAAAATGAGAGATAGCTTCACTCAGGGACAAGTCACGGTAAGAGTACTTATAAATAATGGTCTGGATCCTTTTCTCTGTCTGATGTCATGTGTTTCATCATATATGCATCGACTTTCTCACTCCTGCACCTATCAATGCAGCTTCTGTGTGACATTCAATCAATGACGAGGCATGATAACACAAACTGGAAACTGCAAATAATCCAGTTCCTTTGGGTGTTTTATGTCAAATCGGCAGTCAGAGAAGAGAAACAAGGGAATACCTTAAATACATTTGCATTCAGTGCTCATGTCCTGCCGATGACAACGAAAAAGAAAAAGGCCTGATTTAAACGTTTTATACAGTACAAGTAGAGGAAAGTTAATCTGAAATGAAAATCACAAGACAAAACAACTTGATATGTCAGAAAGGTGAACAATGCATGACTATTGTTTAATTGTCAGCTTGTTTTTCTTGATTCCATCATAGGGGCCCTTTTCACAGCAGCCATTTTGACATGTCATAGCAGGTTAAACACAGATGTAATTGCTAAAAATGTTTTTGCTCCAGTTGAGTGATTCCAGTGAGCCAGCATGCACAATACCAGGGCCTGGTCCACCTAAATGGAACAGAGCCATAATTAATGTGATTAGATACACCTGTGTTTACCCTGCAATAGCATGTCAATATGGCTTATGAAGGGCCTATTGTTTTATTCAATATTTTATATAACTGCACTCCTGCTAACCTTCTCTGAAACATTATTTAAAAAATGCTCTCAAAAAAAGTATAATTCTAAGTTGCCTTCAAAATGGCAAAATTAAATTGCCGTTATTCTACATGATCTTTGTCAGCAGTAGCTTGCACACTTTTATTGTTTTCCACTAATCAGTGAAGTGGGAGTGTGGTTCCCTGTCAATGTGCAAGCTTATTGATCTAAAGCTAGGAAGTGATACGTCATCAAAAAGAGAGGAGAAAAGGGGAGGGGCAAGAGGAGGTGCAGTAAGGCTACCTGTGCGTTCCAATACCAATGCTACCATACTATGTAGTCCGCACAATACTTAGTAAGTACGTCCCAATACGTATGTCATATGCAGTACGCCACAAATACCACAATGTCCTACTACATCTGGTTGTATTTTGCAGTATGCAAGCCAGCAGGATTTTCTGGCAATTTTGACCCACAATTCTCTGCACGGCGGATATATGAGCAAGAGGGTCAAAATTCAATGTTATGACAAATATGTCCCAATTGAATGCATACTGCATGCAACAGTACATACTTTGTAAAGGCAGCTGCAGTATGTACTAAAAGTAAAACGAAATAGAATGTGATTAGGAAGGCAGCTTACATTTGTGTCAAAGGGCTTTTTCAGTTGGTTTAATCTTAGCTCATAAACAAAAACCTCACACTTATTATTTCTAATTCAAGGTCAACCAAAAAATGAATTCCTAACTCTCCATTAAGCTAATATCCTAAAAAGTGTTGGCTATTTTGAAGTTGGTGTGTAAATCCTTACTGCTTTGTGGAGTGTGCATCTCAGCAAAACTCGCCAAACGTCACAGTTTCTCTTATCTCCCTCGAGAGTGCAGGTCTGTTTCTGCTTCCTCCAGCAATAAATCAAAACCTAAATGGAACGCTGTACAAGCTCCAAGTTCAGGTGACGCAGTGAGTCCTGCACTCAGAGCTGAAGGATTTCCAGATGAACACAGGGCTCAGGTGACACAGGAATTAGATGCTACATGCTGGGATATTTATCATGGAGATGTAATGATACTTAATTTCTTCTTTCGTTAGATTCATATTGCCAGCGTGGCCGATAACCGCCCCACTTTTCATGTCATGGGCGATGATAAAAACACAAGGCAACCAAGATTATCACACAACAGCTTGGACCTTGCTCACAAACAGCATGTTGTTGCTATAGCTACACAATCCAGGGACCCTTTTACCCCCTCCTGAATTAATTAACAATGTGAGCATATTTAAGAGTCTGGAGGAGAGGGCTGTATCTGAGCTAAATCAGGTGTAAATATTTTGCATTCTCCATTTAAGTGGCTCGCGTTCCTTTCACACCAACTACTGGAACAAATAGTTCTTAATATAGGAAGCAAAGGGTTTTCTTTGTGATGCACTACAGAGCACCTCAGATAAAGCAAATTGTTCCCAAAAAAAATCCATTCTTGAGAATCCATTTGGTAGCTGATTTATTATATATGAATTACATAGCCCGAGGCTGGCTCGCCTAACAGCCCTCTCAGGCCTATTTGAACTGTAAAACACAATGCCTGTCAAGCTCTATTTCCTCTTGTCCATTTTACTTTTTTCCCCATGACATCATGCAAATAATGTTTTGCCCCAAAATAGTGTAGCGCAGAAGCTTAAGCATAGTTAAAAGACACATTTTTCTATTCATATGCAGTGACACAGTCAAGAAGCAGAATAAACACAGTTGTGACTATCAAAGTGCACATGCGTGTAGACGGACGCATGTCAGAGATCGTGTGTTCAGGCACATTCACTCATAACAGTACGTGCACTCAGGCAGAAACATTTTACATGCAGTCATGCACACACAGATACGTTTTGATTAAAGCTTCTTCGTTGTCTGTTTTACAGGTGGTACAGATGCGCCCCCATCTGGATGTGCAGTGTATTACATCAAGGAGGACAGACCCAACAGGACTAAACGCAGTCCTGCTTTTTCCACCTATGGTTTCCACCCGATGTAGCTTCAGAGTAAAAATACTAACACAATAAAATCCTGACTCCATCTACAAATACTCTAGATGTCATATATCCTCCAATGTATAGCCAGTTTGTGTTCATTGGTACTGGGGCTGAGCCATAGTGTGCGGAAGTAAGTCGTTTATTTTTATACCACCTGCGTTTGCCCTGCAGAACCCCATTAAAATCCATACAGTAGGCCGTATGCTCTCATCTCTATCAGACCTGAAACACAAAGCAATAATTCAGCTTTAGAAGAACACAAGAGACCGTATCAACTATTGATTTTTTTGGAAAAACAAAAAAACACATACTGTAAACTCGTTGACCAACTGATGATGATAATGTCGATCCTGTAGGATTAATGTAGGATTGGGTAGCCTCTCAGTTTCTCTAACAATTTTTGGAAATCCTGAAAAATATTCTCCCACATAAAATAAACTGAAGCACACATTTAACAAAAGTATTGATTCTATGTTCAATAATCTATAGACCTACGAAAATGTAGATCTTAATTTTTTTTTTTTACGAGGAAGGTACCCTTCCCGTAAATAAATCCTTCTGACTTTTAGTGTTTTAAAAGTTATCCTAAAAGTTACCCTAAATAAATAAGTATTACAATAGTATATTGTAGCCCTAACTTCACTGGTCTGTAACCTAAAGGGACTATATCGAGTATGCTTCTCTTTGAGAGACTCATAAAGTGACTCCTACTCATTGATTTAAAAATAAAAGGTCAGCACTCACGTTCCCGAGCAGCTACAGAGAACACGAGACATACGTGACAGTTTAAGCTGCCATGGACAGAACTGTATCTTTCCACAGCTCTTTCATCATATCTTTTGTCCCAAAACTGAGAGGGTGTGTCGTAATATCATTTCATTGCATTTCGACGAAGGGTGCTGATTTAATCTTACATTTAAGTCAAACTATTGTAGAAAAACATAAAGTTATAAATACAAGTTTGGTTGGGGGTCGGATGCCTGCAGGGTCAGATGGCTTAGCCTTTGCCTCACCCAAGGGACCAAAAAATGTTACCAGGCTGGATGGAGAGCAGAATACGTGAGCTGAAACCTCATTGGTTGATAAATACAGTGGGCGGGGCATCCTGGCTTGTGTATATAGCGCTTTGTTCCATTGTTGCAGAGTGTCTTTTCCAGTTGGTCTGGCTCTGGTGGGGGGACCCACCGTTGGAGGACACCATAGCACTTATTTTTTATTTTATTTTTTACAATTGGATCCTCTTTTTTTGTTTGTTTGTAAAGATGTCTTTTTCTTGCAATCACTCCCTGGACGGCAGCTTTCCTCCTCCTCCAGTGGAGGACAGGGGGCCAAAGCGACTGTCCTGGGGCAGTCTGCTGCAGAGGCTGAAGGAGCTGAAGGGGATCAATCAGAGGATCACAGCTGACCTTCAGTTGAGCAGAAGTGAAACCAGTGAGTGTTGCAGGCTTTTGTACGAGGAGGCTCGATTGTGTTCATTCAAAGATGTAATATAGTTTGATTTCAGTTGACTTGAACTTGTTAGAGGAGGGAGCATGAACTGACAAAGAACAAAATCGTTAAAGGAGGCAGAGGTCTCCTTTTAGTGAGTCCTGCAAAACCAGACAAGACTTTAACCTGTATTCTTTTGTTTTAGGATCTGTGGCAGACCTGTCCCTGTCAGAATCAAACAGCAGTTTCTTCTGTTATCCCCTGGAGGAAGCCCTGGCTACTGAGGTCGTAACAACAATGACACAAAGTCTCAATGACGCCTCAAACATCCTGGGCTGCTCCAAACTCATCTTACCTGACTATCTACTGCACAATATCAGCCAACAGCTGCTGCACCTGGCTGTCAGCGAGCCATGCGGCCTCAGGGGAGCGCTCATTGACCTGTGTGTTGACAGGGGGGGCCAGGGCGCCCCATGTACTGTGGACCAAATAGCAGTGGATGCCACCCTGGTCCCAACCTTCCACGTGACCCTAGTGCTGAGGCCCGAGTCCAGTGGACTGTGGTCAAAGGTTCAGAAACTCTTCAAGGGTAGAAAGTCACCAGAGACATCTGCAAGGCACCAAGAAATTCTGAGGTTCAGTACGAGCTTTAGGGCCATCAAGAGGAAACTGTATTGTTCAGGGGCGCTGCTGATTGAGGAGTGCTGCTGACCAAGCACTCCTGTCCCTGATTAGCTGAAGTGAATTCACATGTAGGCCGACTGTAGGAGGAGGCTGGTGGGTTAAAGCTTAAATCAGTAAAGATTCATGTCTGAACATGGGTCAGTGTCTTTCTATTAATGTAAAGTCACACCCTTAAAAGAACAACTTGTGTATTTGATAGTCAAATATGACCTGAAACGTGTGTTTTGTATATTCAACCTAAAGAACATAAACAAATAAATTATTTTTTTATGAAAAAAATGACTCGGCATAAATCAAAGTGTGAGTGTGTGTGAGTGTGTAACGAGCGGTGTGGCATTAGGGATGGCAACATCAATCTGTTGGTCCACCACTCAACAACAATTATATGGACTGCACTAAAAGATACTCATGGTTCCCAGAGGATGAACCCTAACGATCTTTGGTGATTAACATTTCATGTAGTGCCATTGTCAGGTCAAATTTAAGATTGACAGTGAAATGTCTCAACAATTATTGGTTGATGTGCTATCAAATCTGGTTCTGATGTTCATGTCCCCCACAAAAGAATTGTAATGACTCATCTTTTGCCATTATCAGGTAAAAATGTGTCAAACACTTTGGTTTCTGAACGAATACCTTCAGCTGTACTTTGTGTTTAGTTCTCTTAGCAAATGTTAGAATTATCACACACTGGACTTTAACAGTGAACATGAAAACCATCACACCTGCAGCAGCAAGTTAGCATTGTCATTATGAGCATGTTTAAATGCTGACGTCACATTTAGCTTAAAGCACCGCTGTGAACAAGTACAGCCTCGCTCGACCGCTAGCATGGCTGTAGACTCTTAGTCTTGTTTAAAAGAGAAAATATGCACTAGTTAACCATTGGACAAATTTAATTCAAAGAAACTTTTATACAATTTTAGCATGTTAATTTAATAAATATGGTTTACTTTTATTTGTGCAACGATTTTCAATACTTATGATCCAACAGGCTACAAGCAAATCCACAAAATAACATTATAGTAAATGATATTAATGCCAATAAACCCTGCACTGTTAAAAGGAAAATTAATATTTACATTGGTTAAGAACTATAAAAATTACACTTTCCTTGTGAGAGGCTCAGACATTTGTCTATGAGAAGGCCATGAGGTTTCTCAAAATGTTTAAGGAAAACAAAAAAGACTGGGACAGAGAGCTAATCTTAGCAGCTTTGTTTACCGTTGAAATAGACAACTATGCTCTTACTTTCCACCGTGACGCCCAGCGGACTCTCACCACACTGAAGACACGAGAGTAAGAAAGTGTCAGCAGTCAACTCAAAGCTTCTCACAGTTCTACAGGAAGTCAATCTACACCAAGTTGCAGATAGGTTCCCTGATGAGGTCTGCTGCCCACTGCACGCAAGGCATTTTTGATTCTCTTGGTTTGCTGCAGAAATATGCTCCAATTTCAGTGGACTCCGACCGATTTCTTCTAATTAGATTCAAGTACCGACGAAACCTGCGGAAAAAGCAAAAAAAACTCTGATTAGATTGCTTTACATGCAAAGACAACCAAAAAACATCGACACAGACCATTCATTATCACTACCACTTGTGCAATGCTCAGTATCAGTTAAACAGCTGCAAGAAGAAGTTGAGCACACTGACATTTTACGCAATTTCAAACCTCGCATAGCTGTGCACCATTTTTTTTCAAATCATACGTTTTAAAAACAAGTATGTCCCACTGTCCAGGCAGTCATAGGTCTTTGTTCATTTCAGTGTTAAAACCAACCTGCAGAGACTTGACCCTTGCTCAAGATAGATAATCCATCAAAGTGACTATTAAGTTGCCTCTTAAGTATCGGGTATCAGTCCCTGCTTACAACCGCATTACCATGCTTCAACAAGTAAACGAACAAAAATAAAGTGGAATAAATGCTGTAATGGATTACACACAAGAGGCAAGTAGTTAAATTTAAATGAATGGCAACAGCAGCCGTGGAAGTTTGGAGTCAATCCAAAAACATCTGGTATGCTTTTGGAAAACTATCAACTATAATGAAGAGTGTGTAAATAGTGGGATAAAAAAAAACAAAAAAAAACAGCAAAATATTGGAGTTTTTGCAGTTCATGTACTGTATTCTTGGTTTCATACAAGTCCTTCTAAGGAGGGCGTTAACATCTTAAACCAGAGGTCTTCAACAGGGGGTCCGCAGAGGTACTGCAGGGGGTCGGCGAAATTTTTCGATGATTAGACAATTTTTTTGTTTTTTTTTCCCCAAACATCAATCTGTCCATTATTTTAATAGTTCAGTATTGTATGAAAGATAACAGGTATGTTTATGCATGGCAGTGGCACTAATAGGCCATCACTCATTTTTCGTTTCCACATTTGTGTTTAAAATAAAAACATCAATTTGAATAGCTTGTATGCAGGATTATCATGCAAGTGACAGATAATGTTGATATTGGCATTGGTATCAGTTGACAAGGTATGTTTATAAATGGCAGTGGCACGGCCTCCCTGCTCACTGTACCTTGCACATGTTTAAAATAAAAACATGAATATATGAACCTGTGTATTATTTGAATAGCTTAGTATTGAATGCACAATAAAGAGGTATGTTTATACATGGCACTAGGCCCAGTTTAATATAAAACACAATTTTATACAATATATAGTTGGGGGTCCCTGCTCCATCTCTCTATCAGTTTGGGGGTCCTTGGCCTGAAAAACATTGAAGATCCCTGTCTTAAACACTACAATACTTGCATTGGGTAGCTGCTTTCAGTTTGTCTATGTATACAGTTGCTGTTATACTGTAATGTCACTGTGATGGTTGCGGCAACTTACCCTTATGTGCACAAGTGGTTTCTAGCCATCCAATAAAACCTGAATCTCAGATAGTCTGGAACAGCTGGGAGTCCCCATCCTTTGTGCTCTTTGGTACAACTCAGAATCCCCAAAGTAACGAGCACGGTACAGCAAGCCTTCCTCTGAAAGTACAAGAGAGCATGTCAGCACGCTAGGTCTCAGGCTACATCCAATAACATTCACGAAAAACAATCTCCGTACTCACAAGCGTTTTAGCACCGTTTCAGAAAAAGTAAAAATATGACATATGTTAAGTTAATCGTTTTGTATGTACAGTTATTTTATTTCACCAATGAACTAAGAACACACCAAACTTAAAATGAAGGTGGCATACTGTAGAGTTGCAGAACTGTAAAGTTCAACTGATTAATTGAGAAAATACCTGGCAGATGAATCAGTAATGATAAAAATTGTTGGGTACAGCTCTACTGCAAACTTACTCTGCTGCTTCTCCTTCCAACAGTTGTTTCTGAGGTTGGAGATGTAGTCTTCTTCAACACTTCTCTCGATATTCTTCAGGTTATTATTCCCCGAATATTCTTCATTGAAGCGATCTCCCACATAGAAAAGCACCTTCAGGTTTGATGTATGCCTTTTGTGAATATGTCCAGCTGACCTGATGTGTAGGGAAGACATAATAACAGAGTGAGGCAGATGAAACATTTAACGCAGCCTCAGAAAGCTCTCCGAGTGGTGAAACACTTACGGGCGGTAGCTAAGGCTGTAGGGAGGCTGGGTGACCATCATCTGGCTAAGAGCAGAAACAATGATGAGGATTAAGATGGGCATCAGCTGGATAAACAGAGCCAGACCTCCCTGTCCAGAGACAGAAAAAAAACATTTGATTAGCGTTTCCTTGCGGAGCATACAGTACATCAGCTGGTATCACGTGTTATTACGGTATTATAAACAGGACTTACCTCTCTCTGCTGCTCTCGTCTTTCTGGCCTATTATGGTGTGCAAAGTGCATTCTTCCATTTCTGTAAACATGTACGTTACCTGAAAAATAGTTGAAGAAAACCCATCGAGTAGCATATTAACGACAAGATAATAGCACAATAAAGTTGTGTTTAGCCTGGCTTCGCACTGGGATCATAATCAACACTCAGGTTATGCAGAAGACAGTGAAGAAGCCTGGCTTGCTCTCCAATGGGTTGCCGAGGCATGTTCTCCAAACATGAAAACTAAAATACTCTCGGGCCACCATAGCACTGCACGAAAGTACAACATCCCGACTAAGCCTAAATTCATCTGCGCTCTACTTACTTGATGGGAAGCCTCCACCAAAGAACATGTTGAAGAGGTCCTCGGGTGAGATGTCTGCTTCAAAATCACGATGGTTTCTCTGCCTGGTTGGGTTTGATTTCTCCTCTCCATACTGGTCATACTGCTTTCGTTTGTCAGTGTTACTCAGCACAGCATAGGCATTACCAATAGCTGAAAGACACACAAAAATGTGTTACATTTACATAAAAGTTACATTTGCATGTTCTCTATAGAACAGCACCGGAGGGTACTTTTGAACTTACCTTTAAATGCCTCCGTGGCTCCAGGTGCGTGATTTTTATCTGGGTGAAATTTTAGAGCCAGCTTTCTGTAAGCTTTTTTCAGGTCCTCCTCAGAGGCCGTCTTTTCAACCCCGAGAGTTTGGTAATAATCTTTACAGCTCTTAATCCTGCAGTAAAAGCAAAAAAAACAAACAACCAGAGACAGTTAGCAGATTGAGAGGAAAGAAATGGAAACGCAACATATAAAAACATCTCCTGACATCAAATACTTCATTATGGTAACGTCATGGTAATGACACAAACAAACACTTTTCATTGTATGAACAAAACACATGAGACGTTATTCAATCTGTACATTCTACATCTGTACAAACAAAAGAACAGATTCACTGACTTTCTGACAGCATCCAGCTGATCTGCGGTGTATGGTTTCCCCGAGTCCGTGGCCCCCTGTCCGGACACATTGGGCTCCTCTCCGTGGCTGCGGTGTCTCATCGTGGGTCCGTCTCCGTTCACAGGACCGCCATTCTCATCTGGAGGCTTTCCATTTTGCGCTAACAACTCCAATAAGTCTGGAAAGAAGGTGGAGTCATATTATTCAAGATAGCGCCTCAGTCTTGATCATAATCACATCATGCATTAGCTGAGCGAGCTAACGGCTAGGACTGTAACGGCTAACAAGAACGCCAATGATGTCAATGCGACCTGCGAATAAGCACCAATTTAAGACATCAAGTAACCAAATACGTTGCAGAATTCGCGGGTGGGGGTGCTGAAAAAACTACAAATACCAGTGTCGGCTTGAAGCAGCTGGTGTAACGCTAAGATGGTTATGCTAACGTTAGCTGATTTGGTTGTACAGCGACGGCCCACCAACCGATATAAAATCTCTACCGAGACAGACGATTATTCGACGTACTTTTTGCCTTATCTGTCGGAAACAGGCGCTGCGCTTTCTCCAGAAACTTCCTGGCTTTGTCCGGCTGGTTGTTCTTGACCGAAATTAGTGCTATTTTAATGCACCGCTCCGCTTCGTCCTTGTTTGAGTCCATCGCGACACAGCGGAAATGTTTACTTGCCCCAGGACGCACGGAGATGACGTAGAGGAGCTCTCCGGCTCTAAAATAATACGTCTCAACGGTTGAATGGTAACCGACATCATGCCCTTCGTACACTCGACTGAAGATAGGTTTTAAAACGCTGATGCTTAAATAAGCGGTGTTCATTATTTATATATATATATATATATATAAAGCTGCTCTACTCGTCTTTGCGACACTAGCTGCCACTTGCAGAACCCTCAGCCATTATAGCTACTTCATTGAAAGTCGAAATGGCTTTGGCAGCTTCACACAGCAGGTCAGTTATGTCTGCCAAACGTAATATTCTGTATAACGTCACAGTGAGGCAAACCTGTCTGTTGTTTTCTACTAATGACACTGTCTCAGATGGCCAGAGGAAACCACCATCAAAGAAACAATTGAGAAAAAGTCAGACGAAATCTCCCTGTACTGATCATCTGTCCTGGGAGGAAAAGCTGGCTGATGTGGTCACTCCTCTGTGGAGGCTGAGTTACGATGAGCAACTTGAGCTCAAACAAAAGCATCAGGAAAGGATACTTTCTCAGCTCTCCGGGCATCTTACAGGTGACTTCCAATCCCAATCATCAGCTGTCAGAAGTAAACTCAGCTTCCCTGTCTTGCCTGTTCTGCCATCGCCGGTTAGGGATGGCTACCGCAACAAGTCCACGTTTTCTGTTAACAGAGGAGTGGATGGGAATGCAAAGACAGTCGGTTTTTACGTGGGCACAGGCAGGAAGGGAAACATTGTCTGCGTCAACGGGGACCACCTGCTCAACATGCCGGAGAAGCACAAACTGGTAGCCCGGTGTTATCAGGACTTCATCCGCCTCTCGTCCCTGGAGCCCTGCCTGCTGTTCCACACTGGGGGTCACTGGAGAGAGGTCACGGTGAGGACCAACGCAGAGGGCCACACCATGGCTATAGTGTACTTTCATCCACAGACGCTCACCCGAGAGGACGTGGCACTCCACCAGGCAGACTTGGTGAAATACTTCACGCTGGGGCCTGGATCAGTCTGTCAGTTGGACTCACTGTTTTTCCAGGAGAGCTGCATGACTCGCTGCAGTCATGAGGAATCCCCCTACCAGCTCCTGCACGGTCAGCCACACATATACGAGGAGGTAATATATACACCATCAGGACAAAATTACAGAGAGGGACTTTACATAACCTACTTCCAGAATGTGTGGTGAATATATGCAGCACAGACTAGCAGCGGTGGAGGAAGTTAAATCAGCAATTCCACAGTGTAGAAACGATCCGTTACAAGTAAAAATCCTTAATTTTTGCAGTTAAATAAAAGTAAAAATATATTAGCATCAGAATATACTTAATGTACCAAAAGTAAAAGTGTTAATTATTTATAGAATGGCCCATTTCAGACTATATTACTATATTATAAGTATGAAACTACTAATGTTTTAACGGTTGGGTTGAATTAATTTATGTAATGCTAGGTAGCTTAACCTGTAATAATACATCGTAATGCATTAGTTGATTACATTTTTTTATGAACAATCTAAATCCAGAACGTAACTAAAGGTTTTAAATAAAAGTAGTGGAGTAAAATGTGCAATATGTCTCTATGACTATTAGTAGAAGTATAAAGTAGCATTAAATGGAAACACTCAAAAGTACCTCAAAATTGTTCAGTACAGTACTTGGGTAAATGTACTTACATTCCACCACTGAAGACCAGGATATCCTGAATTTTATTCATGAATATGGATCAATTTCCAGAAACACTGTATCCTACATTTCCCATAATGCAATGTGATAGCATCTTCCAGACAGACCCTACTCATCTGGTAAATGGCCGTGACTCCATACGCCATTTGTAATGCAGGCCTTCTGGTACAGATCATTAGTTTATTAGTCTATTAGTCACACAATTTACTCAACTCATATACTATCATACAACTCCACAGCCTTTGTTCAACATGACATCGACATGTAAATTACCCTAGAAGTACTGAATTTGTGATGATAGTAGACTAAGCGGGTACCACAAAATCCATGTATGTCTATGTATTGTTTTTCTTTTGTCATTCACAGGTGCTGGGCTACAAATTCCGCATTTCTGCCGATGCCTTTTTCCAGGTGAACCAGGCTGCTGCTGAGGGGCTGTACAGCACAGTGAGACACCTGTGCTTCCCGAGCCCTGAGGATGGTGGAGGAAGAACCAAAGTTGGCGGTACTCTGCTGGATGTGTGCTGCGGGACGGGTGCCATCGGCATTACCATATCTCCCAGAGTGGACAGAATCATTGGTATAGAGCTCATGGAACAGGCGGTGGAAGATGCCCGACACAACGCAGCTCTCAACGATGTACTGAACTGTGACTTTGTCCGGGGAAAGGCGGAGGTGGCGCTTCCTGGCATTATGTCCCAGCTGAGCTCCAAAGGTGGAGGCCTTGTCGCAGCTGTGGTGAACCCTGCTCGAGCTGGACTGCACTACAGAGTGGTCCGGGCTCTGCGAAACCAACCTGCTATCCGCAGGCTGGTCTATGTGTCCTGTAAACCGGATGGGGAGGCTATGAGGAACTTCAGGGAGCTTTGTTGCGCCCCTGACCCCCAGAAGAAACTCACAGGAGAGGCGTTTTCTCCGACTCTGGCTGTGCCTGTGGATATGTTCCCACATACTCCTCATTGTGAAGTGGTGCTTCTTTTTGAGAGGTAGCGGATGCTTTTTGTTCAGAGGCGGGCTTTGACCCTTCAGCAACTCGATGATAATGTATGCTAAATGATAATGGATCATCTTACACCCATGGTTCACCCACACAGGTGTTTTCTCTTATTTGCTTGATTAAAACTTTGTTTTTAAGGCTGCAACAAATGTTTTTTTGTTTTTTTTCATAAATCTTCTGATCTTTTGCTGTGTAAAATATCAGAAAATATAGTGCTTTACTACAGCAGATGGACAGGTGGAAGGTGACATTAGAGTCGAGTCAATGCATCTGTTACACAGTGTGTATACATTATAAGCTTCACAATGTTAACATTTGCTGCAGGGCTATCACATTGGATGTCATTATATTGTGTTAGATGTCCATGTTATTGTGTCCACCTCCTGTTGTGGGTTGTAGTACTTTCCTTCGTAGTAGCTGTATTTGTGCAGCAGATGGTGCCATTACAACTTCTTCAGAGCCATCCTCTTAGACATCCCATTCATTCTAGTTCACTAAAGGTCAGTAACATTATGAGTGTATATCATGAGCTGACAATATTTTCCGGAAGAGGTTACCACCGTTTATGTGAGGCCATAGATTGGGACAAGCCGGCCTTGCCTTTTAGATAGGGAGCTCTTTTATCTCTTGAGTTAAGTAATGGTATGATGATGCAGGGTTAGCAGAAAGACTGGGAAATCACCCTTTAACAACCCTGACAGGGTGCGGGGGTTTACATCTACGTGCTCACTATTCTCATATTGTACTCAGTTCTGCCTCTGTTCTGGCTAACCTTACCAAAATTAGAAAAGACATTTAGGAAAAAAAACATTTTAATCTGAATACATTTGTGGTGTATTCACCAAAAGTACATGCATGAGAGAAGTAAAAAGTCTGATGCATATAATAATCACATTAGTTTCACAAATCTATACATTGTCAGTCAGATGTTCTGCCTCTTCTTTCTTTGCGAGTTGATATCAACATCTGAGGGGAATCTTTTCAATGTAGTTTACTGGAAAACTGTGTTGTGTCTACCAACAGTTGGGATATATTTGATCAGAGTTTCACAACCATCTCAGACATTAACTGAAGCTTGCAAAACAAATTCCCCTTTCCACTGCACAGGGTGACACAAATGCAAATGTCAGACAGTCATTTGCTGTATGACATAATATTGAGTTGACCTGTGTTTACAACATCTTGCCACGTTTCATCAGATTAGAGAGCCATATTAAGATCAAGAGTTTGATTTGATAGATTTGGCAACGATGCAAGAAAAAATATTTGAGACATTCTGATGGTGAAAAAAAAAAGGGTGGTTAACAGAAGCAAACAGCCAATAGGGTGTAATCACAGCCTGTGGCATCAATTTCCTCGTCGACCAGTTGCTTTAAAACGACCTCTGCACAGCAGTGACGACTTCAGTAACCGGAGATCAACGCACCAGTTACTCGCCTTTATTTCTTTCTTTACCGGAGCTCCTGCAGCTTTGGTGCCTTTCTCTACACGGTGAGTAGACTCTACTAAAGCAGACATGTAAGTCAAACAAATTTAAACGGACATTACTGAAGAGAAGACAGTGTCACATGCAAATTGTCAGTGTTTAATTTGAATAGTGGTGTCGCTATCGTGTTTTGAGCGGACAAGTTTCCACCACCAAGATAACATTTACGACATGCTGTCGTAACTTGTATCTTCTAATCACACCACTGTCGTGTGACCAGGTTTGACGTTATGTCATCTTTAACTTCCATGTAGGAATGTTCATTTATTCACTCATTTAACTTTTTTAAAAAGCGTTATACAGCGAACGTTAACGGCCGAACACGCCACGCCCACCACTCTGCTAGCCCCGCTAGCTTATAACGTCTAGCCGCTACACCGGAAGTGTAGAATGGTGGCGTTAGTCTCACACAGGTGGTATCACCATGGCAACCATGGGTTTTTAGACTACACGGTAGGGTACATGTGGGCGCAAAGTGGCATCTTCCGGTTCAACAAATAGTGACATAACGTTACCACTTCCATGTGAAGAAGTGCTATCAAACCGCTGGGCAGTGAAAGAGGAGTGGCATCCTGTTTTCACGCCTGCAGTTTTTAGTCAATTACATCACCAATAATCAGACATACGGCACTAATGAGATGGGGGCACACAACCGTTGGAAAGTGGTAACGGTTATATAGTGAAACGAGTGATGAGCCGTTTAGGTGGCACACGGCGTATCCAAAAAAAACGCAGCAGTGACTCATCACCCCAGATTGTGCCACATTTTCCGCCACTAGTGCGATATCTCGTTCACCGCGCACACTGCTGTGTGGACCCAGCCAGCCGCCGTACTTTCCTCTCCTCTCTGTTTCTGCATCCCGCCTCGCGCATTTAACTGAGCAACATCTCTCCTGTTGTGTTGGTTTTTTTTTAATCCTGCTGCGCACTACCGTTACAGAAAAAAATGACTCAAACGGAAACCAGGAATCATCACGATGGCAAGCAACAGTTCGGAGGAGCCGTGGCAGAAACATCGACGGTGGAGGATGTTTTTGACGACAGCTATAAAGAGAAAGAGGGTCCCAAACCACCGACGACGCTGGTTTGGAGGAATATCATCCTGATGTCCCTCCTTCATGTCACCGCTCTCTACGGACTAGTTTTCCTTCCATCCGCTTCGGTTGCAACTCTCGCATGGAGTAAGTATTTACTATACTGTAGCGGGCTGAGCGGTGCAGCATTGTTTCTGTTTTCACCCTGTGGGCCACAGGGTGAAAACAGAATGTGCTGATGGTGTGTTATCATTGCTAACTACAATACATGCAGACTGGGGGGGGGGGGGGGG